ATGTCTCGGACAGAGTCCAGTGACAAACGAGTCGTGAATTGATGGTCCGATTGTCACTTATTTGGAGAAATGTGTAAAACTTGTGTCCATTTATGAGACAACACTGACAGCACATTGTGTTGAATGCGACAAAAGTGATGTCCAAACGACTCAATCAAACAATTGATGGCCAAAGGGGTCAACACTTGGACACACGATAACCGATAACCGGATATTCAATACTATGATCACGTGTTATACGATATACCCATCCATTCACCAGTAATTATATCGCAAATACATTGCCTCACAATCCTGTGAACCCTTCAAACATTACATTCAATACAAGTTTTGTTACAATCCTTATAATTAGCAAATAGTCTATTGAATGAAATTTCGTGGATATAGTCGTTATAAATGCTTATATTTGACATTTTTTATTGGTTTATATAATAGTTATAATTATTTAATTTAAACATTAGTTGATATATAATACTCAGTGTATTATATAACATTACTGTGCCCTTGGTACTTTTGACAAGTATTAATGGAGAAAGTGATTACCGTTTTTATAATAACTTAATAGCAAATAGATAAGACATTGTATGAGCACTTGAATCAATGGATTTGTGGAGTGAGGGAATGGGAGGACTGGGAGGACATGTGCTGGCAATGCATGGATGGATGCAAACTGTGAAGTGACGGACTCTATAAGCATTTGGTGTAAGAGTTGTAATGGTATTAAGCATAACACCAATGATATGAGTCGTCGATAACAAAGTCTTTGCCAACATTTCTAATACGAGTAATGACTTTGAATTGATGGCCAAACCCAGTCTACCATTGGATTCCGTGGACACGCATTATCTTATTGTTTAGCTCATGAGTTAATGGCATCCGTTTGCCAAACTCGCACCAAAAAGTCACTCATTGATGGTGTAATACAGAATGTTCATCAATGATTGCAAATGTGCGTGAACACTTTTACACTACTAATACTTTCCAAATGTCTCATATGTTTTGGTCCACAATAATACCAATTAATTGGATTTGTTGTTAAATCGTTTATATTCACAAATCCTTTAATGAGCTCTAGTTTTATAAACATTTTATACGTTTTTACAGCGAATTAGACGATAAGTATAGCGAAAGGATTAACGGATGGAAACGAGAAAAAAGTATCACTTTTTTGTAGTCGACATCACAAGCAATGGCTTCGAGCACTCATACAATCATTTACTTCTAAAACTTAATCCAATCAATCAAAACAACTGTCAATGTAATAAACTTTTATATCAATTATATCATTGAGACGTTAACCAAGTTTTGTAAAAGTATTTTACTTACTACTAAAAAAATAAAATAAAATAACTTTTTACTTATGTTACATTAGGTTTTTATAGTACTTTCAATAATTATATTTAACATTCAATTAATATATAACTTAAAATATCATTAGGTATGTACACTAAATTGAATAGATTTAATTTAAATACACATCAAACGTTTTTATATAACAAGTCTGAAAATAAAAGTTTTTATTTCTATGTTAAAGTTGTGTAGAATTGATGTTTGAGATTAAAAAAAGGCGAACATAACTATACTTTTATCTTAAGTGCACATTAGATAGCTCTGACTTTTCTAGGCATACAAATTTGCATATATATATATATATATATATACCGTATTCCATATCTATGAGTTTGAATATTTTTTATTTTTCAATTTCTTGTTACATTTTATCTAAAGCCCTCAGAATTGAAGCAATTTCTGTCGTAAGTATTGCATAAGTTATATAATCTGTAATTTTCTATTTGCAGATAAAACTTGGAACTTATTATTTAAAATTCTATGAATTCTATATTCTTTACTATTATATAAACAAAAGTAAGTTTTTTGCAAATATTCTTTGTACTCGAAATATTGAAATATACTGTAAAACAATCTTTTGAAAAGCATTTGTTTAAAAATGAAGTGAAATTCAAATCACTGCTCTTCCACTTCAATGAGTAAATAGAATTTAATGAATAAAAGTAAACTGAGCAGGCAAACAGAATTCTGCTAAATATTTATTTTACATATTTTTGTTTATTTTCAATTAATATTTTATCATATTTGTAGCTACTAAGTTTGTACAAACAGGTCTTGAATAGTTTTGCAATATTCATTTACTTATTTAAACCATTTTTATAATATTATTTTCTTTCAATCTTATATTAGTTTACAAATCAATATTAAACCAGTAGTCTTGTTAAATATAAATGTAGTAAATTTTATTATAAGGTATTTATAAAAACATTTAAAACTTAATTTTCAAATATTTTCAAATTTATGTGTACAATACCGTACACATAAACACAACGATGATACTGTATTAAACTCCTTTATTATAGTGAAAACTTTATGAGTGCTAAAACAAAAATGTTTATTAATTTAAAATATTTTCTTAATACTGTATACAATAAATATTGAATTTCGGTAAGTTAGCTTTAATAAAGAAGTAAATGTGTTTACAATACTATATTCAATAAGGAGAATTCTATTATAAAATTAAAACAAGTTATAGAATTTGTACTCATATTGTAGTGAATCAATGCATAAAAGTTTTAGTCTGCACCATAAAATTCTTTACAGTCATATTGTAGGCACTGTTTATTCCCTATTTTATATGTAGACTACAGAAATAAAGAATTTAATATTATAAGTAATTTAGAATTCAAAATTACTACATCCATTATGCAAGCATTTATCAATGTTTTTAGTGTTTTATTTCAACAAATTGTCAATTTTAAAAAATAATTAATTATTTTATATCAATATTTTATTTCGCTCTTATCTTACTTAAAAATAAAATATCAATTTTTATTTTCAATTTGAGTAGAAATTTAAATTCAATGCATTAAAACAAATATCAATACTGTATAAGACTCTTGAATTACTTATGATTTATGTAAACATAATTCCGTATAAAATGCTAGAACTTTGTGCCATTAGTTGGATTGAAAACTAAGAGGAATGTAATCAAAAAAAGACATTTAGATTAATGTTCATTTGATTGGATTTGCAATTTCTGTGATTTGGTTTGCTTTGAAAATTGGTTTCAAATAAATAGATTCAACTAAAAAAGATGTTGCGATCGATAAACTTAAAGCAAATCTGGAGATACATGTTATTTGAGTTGCAGTCCATACACTTGTACTGTATTGTATGCATTCAATAACTATTCATTTTATCAAATTGTGTACATATTCTCAATATTATACTCTCATTAGTATGCTATGTTCATAATAAGTTACAATTATTTTATTTGTTTGTTCTAGTATGTAGATTTTAAATTTATATAAATTTACTAAATACTA